GAGGAGGGCGAGGACACACTCACCTTGTGGTATCCGGTCTTTGCAAAAATCTGCAGATTCCCGTCTCCGGTCATCAAGGAGCCGTAGTTTGAGCCTCTCTGGAAACAAACACGCTCAGAGTCAGTGTGACCTTCGTCATCTTCATCTTCCTCGTCACACCAAGGATTACCATGGTGACGATAACGATCGTGTAAAAACACCGCACGTGTACGCTCACTGGGCACTTTATTAGGAGCACGTGTGCTCCTAATAAAGTGCTCGTGGGAGTGCGTTTTCACTGTGAAGGCGTCTGTCGGATTTACAGACAGCGAGAAGAATTCTGGGAGTTTCCTCGGAGCTGATTTCAGGCCTCGTTATTTTCTGTTCCACAGTTTAGTCTAAAACGTAACGGCGACCTGAGCTCGACGCACATCTTTCTTTACATCTACCTTCGATTAGAACGCCTGTCATCAGAAGCCTTACGTACACCTCAAACCTTTAACCAGCGTCACTGCGTGGGAGTGTGCGCACACTTACCAGTGACAGTGTGAGCTTGCTGCCGCTCCGCAGCACCTTGTTCAGGTCGCTCATCTGGATGTCGTCCCAGGAGATCCTCCAGAGCTGAGCTACCAGCTCCTTCTCCAGCTTCATCCTCCTGCAGCACAAACACTCTTCCTCAGTGACTCACCTTCATCTTCCTCCAGGTGAAGCTCAAAGACGGTCAGACACAGTCTGTCTGATTACAGTTCGCACACGCTCAGTAGTACCAACTCATTCTAAATCATTCTTCTCTGAGTGCACCAAAGAACCTGATCGTGTGGTGATATAGCACGATCACTCCACATGCTACTGCCCTCACATGACCAGGTGGTGGAACTGCAGCAGCTCTCACCTGTAGATGAAGATGGCGATGGTCAGGATCAAGATGAAGAAGAAGATGACCACGATGGAGACCATCTGGTAGACGGTGATGGTTTCTGACAGAGAGAGAGGAGGAGACTGTTATTAACCCACAGACACACTATGTGATCTCACGATTCAGAACCAGAACCATGAGGACCATTAGGACCATGAGGACCTTCAGGACCATGAGGGCCATCAGGACCACGAGGACCATGAGGACCAACAGGTCCATCAGGACCACACATTTTTAAAACGAGTTCTTCCTGATCTGGGCTGTAGCTCAGCTGGTAGCACAGGTCACCTACTAATCGTCAAGGTTGTTGGTTCGATCTCATTCTTGATGTATCCATCGGAGTGTGAATGATAGATAGGAAGCACATACGTGTGTGTGTGTGTGTGAATGCTAGATAGGAAACACTTACGTGTGTGTGAATGCTAGATAGGAAACACTTACGTGTGTGTGAATGCTATATAGGAAACACTTACGTGTGTGTGAATGCTAGATAGGAAACACTTACGTGTGTGTGAATGCTATATAGGAAACACTTACGTGTGTGTGTGTGAATGATAGATAGGTGTGTGTGTGAATGCTAGATAGGAAACACTTACGTGTGTGTGTGAATGGTAGATAGGAAAGCACTTACGTGTGTGTGTGTGAATGCTAGATAGGAAACACTTACGTGTGTGTGTGTGAATGCTAGATAGGAAACACTTACGTGTGTGTGTGAATGCTAGATAGGAAACACTTACGTGTGTGTGTGAATGCTAGATATGAAACACTTACTGTGTGTGTGAATGCTAGATAGGAAACACTTACGTGTGTGTGAATGCTAGATAGGAAGCACTTACGTGTGTGTGTGTGAATGCTAGATAGGAAACACTTACGTGTGTGTGTGAATGCTAGATAGGAAGCACTTACGTGTGTGTGTGAATGCTAGATAGGAAACACTTACGTGTGTGTGTGAATGCTAGATAGGAAACATTACGTGTGTGTGTGAATGATAGATAGGAAAAGCACTTACGTGTGTGTGTGAATGCTAGATAGGAAACACTTACGTGTGTGTGTGAATGCTAGATAGGAAACACTTACGTGTGTGTGTGAATGAGGTGCTTTGAGTGCTCATAAGAACCAGTGCATATGAACTTTGACCTCAGACTGATCTTTGGCATACTGACTTGCGAGACAGACTTGGTTGTCGTTCTTGAAGCCACAGACAGGAAAATCAGGGGGAGGGGCTCCGCCCAGCCAGTACAGGTGTGTTCCAGGTATGGCGGTCAGATGCTCCTCAGTGGTGCTGTACACCATAGCGATCTGCGAGGAGGAGGAGGTGTGGTTAACGTCCCTGGATTCGCGCAGACGTTCTAACATTCGTTACTCTAGTTTATGTTTTCAAGGTCACAAAAACGCTGAGCGCTGAGTCGGAGCCTGCAAGGACACAACCAGCACGTTTCTGTTGTGTCTGTGTTTAGTGTGTTCACCTGGAAGGTGGTGCTGTTGGTGTCTACAATGTCCCACAGAGCAAAGTCGGTCTCTCGGTCCCCGCTGTCATCCAGGTGGAGCAGCCCTGTCACACCTGAGGAGAAGCACACAGGTCCACAGGTGAAGCGTCTCCTCGTCTGAAGGTTAAAGCTGTTCGCAATGAAACAATGGAAGAACGACTTCAAGAGTTTCACATAATTCACATCATTTCCTCCTAATTAACCTGAGTGCATCTCACACCACCATCCACCTGCTGCACCGCCTAAGGGAATTCTATTTCACCACCATCAACACCACCAAAACCATCACCTTCATCACCACCATCACCTTCATCACCACCAATACCATCGCCATCATCGTTTTTTTAACCAGCCTCTGAGCAGCCGTCATCAATAAACACTCAGTTCATCCTTCATGAAAACTTTTATCTTTTAAGCATAAATCTGACACTAACTACAAACTACAGACTAAAAACTACAAATATGTCCGACCCCCTGATAGGCTTCTCTCTTCAGCTGCTTTTCCTGGGCTGTTAGTGATGAAGAAAAAAGCAAAACCAGGCGTGGAATTAATTTAGTTAACACTTGATGGACAGGAAGAGGAAGCTCGTCCGTTAGTGAAGGTTCTGTTTTTTTATGCTAGGAGTCTAAACTGACAGAGGAACAGATGAAAGCGAAGTGGAACAGACCAGAACCTCACTGAAACCACACTCTAACAATCTGAACAGGTCCCAGCTGCAGGAGGGAAAAACATAAAAGTCCAAGATCCAAATGAAATGCCCGACAGCTGCAGAGATGACCGACAAACAGAAAGCTCGAGCAGCAGGCCTCCGTGTGCAGACGACAGCACTGAGTAACATATATGTTATTATCATTATTATTTTTATTGGTGTTAATAATTGGACTTTACAGACGTTTCAAACTTCTCAGGTTTCAGCTTCCAGAACCGGCACAGCTGGCAGCAGGACGGCCCAACAGGCAGGTACAGGTTACCTGATAAAATGGTCTTATTAACACTGGTGAGGTTATCGATGTTCAGCTGGAGAACAGAGCGCAGAGGTGCATGAGTTCATACGAACGATCCATCCCCCAAAATCCAACACGTGACTGCAGGACACACAACAGGAAGCAAAGACTGAGGAGAAAGGAGGTCGTGCATGAAAACAGTCACACAGACAGGAGACGTTAATTACAGACAATCAGCAGGAGGAGAGCGAGTGTGCACGCTGAAGAGGGGCTGAGTGGCGCTAACCACCCAGATGAACCATCGCCATAGAAACAAAGCCATTAGAGTTTAGGAGGGAGCTGATTGGTTGTAGAGGTCGAGCATGGAGGAAGCAACAGATCAAAGGGATTAAAACAGAGGTAAATGACACTCAGCACGACTGTGAGGCTCTCCATCATCTCCATGACGTCTCGGCTGGTATTCTGGGACGCCGGGGCGGAGGGGACCCACACTCAGACGTGAACACTATCACAGAAGCTGAGAAACACCAACTACAATTTGTTTTTAAATGTACACCAGACTGAGAAGCCATGGAGCGGGTTCGGGGGTCATGACCCCGACCTTTGAACTCACAGGGTTAAAGCCACAACAGCTGTCACACCCACACCTTAGCTCCTGTATGTGCAAAAGCCACGCAGGGAAACGATGGCGCTCATCGATCACATGCTCGTAAACCCTGGGTGTAACCCCGCCCTCCCTTCAGCACTTAGCGTTTGGAGCTCAGAGCGAACAAACGCGTGGTGGTGGAGTGCAGAGGTCAGGCTGTGGGCTGATGATGGCGTGGAGGTCGCGAGCTCTCATGCCATTTCCTGGAACCACGATCTTCCTCCGACCTTCAGGCTCTGGAAGAATGATGTTTTCATGTGTTACTTAGAAACGATGAGCCAGACTCTGATCTAAAGATAAGATAAGGATTCATCACAGTGAGACGTGTTTTATGGTGCTGGTTTATAAAAGTGCTGCTTTAAATCATTATTGGATCCTTTTATTGTCCACAGAGGTTTTATGGGTCCTTTCAGGGTTTCGGTCTCTTGTGTTCTTATCTGCTGACTCCAAAAGACAAAGTTTTGATTTCTGATGCTTTCAGGAGGAAAGAACAAAGAAACATTTCAAACAAACAGAACCAATAAAACTCAAAAACATGAACAGCACATTCAGCCAAGGACACCCATCGTGAGCAGCTTTGCATGATTACGGTTCAAAATAATCCTTCTTTATCTTAAACTGGGCCGTGCAGCCCCTGAGATTGTTTAACAGAGCACACTCAGATCAATACAAGCGATCGATAAATAATAAGCAATAATAAAGTAATGCTGCAGCGTAGATACAACGAGACAATAAAAACATGGACTAAGTGATGTTCATAAAGCATAATCTTTGCTGCGATTGGCTGTCACGTAACAATGAGGCGCGGGTCCACGGAGGGCGAGCGGCGGTCCAAGGATGACATTTAGAGAGACGTGCTGATTGGACAGCGAGCTTTCCTGCTGTTTTAATGTCAGCTTATTAAAAAATCATAAATATATGTGGACCACACACACACGCACAGTCATGTCTTCTTCCTGGAAATCCGATCTAACATTAACTTCAGCTCGACCAACCCTAACCTCCCCGTGACTTTAACATGTAATGATTTACGAGTTTGTCCCCACGAGGAACTCAGGACCGCAGAATGTGACCATGTAAACACATCTATGTCCTCACAACATGAGTCACACCTGCAGCTGTTAACACTGACCCCAGGAAGTTTACGTGTTCCTGGGAGGTCATGCCTTACTTTCCAGGAATCGCTGTGTGCTTGCTTAGTGTGTCTGCGTGTGCATGTGTGTGTGAAGGGCCAACGCAGACGAGTGAAGGTTAGTCTTTACGAGATCACGGGATAATAAATGACTCATCTGAATCCAGGACTTCTGCTTTCGCCTGTGAACTATAAGAAAACTGCTTGACCGGCTTTTACTGGGATTACGGTCAGTGTGTAATCCCAGTAAAATCCCAGAATCGCTCCAAAACAATCCAACCCTATATGAAGTACTAAACCAGTCCAACATCAGCCAAAACCAACAACAGTGACCAGCCAGTCAAAAACCAGCCAGAAAACTGTCCGAGACAATCGTAACAGCACAGAGTCCAACTACAAGCCAATACCTCATAAACAATGTCCAACAATATCTATTAACCACGTCCAACTATAAACAATGATCTAACCAATCAACATCCAGTCCAACCAGCTCCAGTCTCACACCAAAGTCCACCTCTGAACCAAAGCTGCAGCTGTATGGTCAGTCTGAGCAGGCGGCGCTCAAACATGGCTCTGCGTTTCTATGACAACGCTACAACAGAAAGAGAGTGGTGAAAGCTAAAGGTGGCGCTCTCAGGACGCACCGCACTAAGGCGAGTCGTGTTCTTGTTGGTAGGTTGGTCTGATGGGAAACCTCTGGCACAGTCATCCACATCCTGGTAGACAAGCTTAAAGAAGAACTTTAAACTTGTCTAAAATTTAAAGAAACGTTTTAACTTTCAGCAGCTGCCTTCGTTTTTAGCCTCTTTAGACATTCAGCGATCGCTGAAAGGAAATGATGAGCAAAACCGGCTCCTTAAACCCACAGACAGCATCCTAAAGTCCTTCAGCGTGTTCTTCCTGTTCCCGAGCTCTCAGGCGCTCCACACTCAGACGCACAACAACGTTTTGTCTCTTTACCAACTTCCAGTTCATTTGACAGAACTGAACCACTGCCTGAGACAGTCAGTGACTGTGCAGGTGAAGGGGCACTCAGCGTTTCATACGCAATACTAATACAGTGTTCACCAGTGAAAACTGGCACTGGAGAAAAGAAGCAAGCAGGATAAGAGCAGCTTTGTAATGACAAACAGCAATGAAGGAAAATGTTTGTTCATTCAGGGCTTTGGTTTGAAGGTGTGAAAGGAAACAGGCAGAGGCAGAGCATCATGCTGACACTCGTGAGGATGAATGGGTGGGTGGAGGCATCTTCCACGCAGGTTTGCTTTGTGTGGACATTTGTTCCTGACCTCTTCAGAGAAATCTGTGTTTTAGTGTAACTAACAAGTCTTAAATGTTCACAGAGCCGACTGCGGTGTCATGTTATCCTTCATCATATCCACGTCCACACCAGGGCTGGCTTTTAAAAATCTATTTCCTGATTCAAATCGATTTTGGTCTGAATAAAGTGATCTTGATTCATTAAATCCTGGATTTAAATATAAATGTAATTTATCAGAAACTCCAGAATCAGCTCAACCAGGAGATGAGAGCAGAAACACAGAGCGTGGATCGTCCACAGAGCGTGGATCGTCCACAGACGTCGGGGCTGAAACACTCAGATTCTGCAGGTTTCGTCTCTCTGACCAAAACTGACAGAACCAGAAAGAAGCTCAAACTTCACGTTTGAGAAACGTCGTCATGAATTCTCTCTGACTTTGGCTATTTTACTTCCTGCACAGCTCTCTCTCCCTCAGTGCACTCAGACTTTTACCATCAAATCTCCGTCTCCTGCTGCTCACGCTCCGCTGCTGCGCTCGCTGCTGTCGGCCTCTGACAGCAGAGCCTCATCTCTGTTCAGACTGAGGACATTTAGACTTCAGTGATTGCTCAGCTGTGATCGAACCTCTGTGACTCTGCTTCACTTCAGCAGCATCAGGTTGCTTCAGTCTTTGATCGACTGCAGAAGAGTTCGAAGCTTCTCTGCTATAAAAAGCCAGAACAGGAAAACCTGCTTCATGTTTTATCCTCAGTTACTTTGACACAAAGACGTCTGCTGTGATGCTCACACCTCTGATGGAGCCTCACAGCGTCAGCTTTGTCTTATACATGGATACGTGCTGATAAACAATCAGAGTCTGAACCCGTCCCTGCTTCACAGCTCACAGTTGAAATACGTTCCAGTATTTCATCGCTGTATGTGGCTGACGTTCCCAAACCCCGGGTACATCACTTCACGTGTCTGTGCTTCCTAAGACGCCGTCTTCAGCGCTGACAACAGTGGGAAACATGGCTGTAACGTTGGACATGGACCTCTCTGATCAGTGTTGACGTTTTCTATGATTCTGATGTGACTGAATGGCGTGAGTGCG